TTGTCCCTTTCTTGGGAGGAATAGACCCTATATTACCTAATGATTGGCAAGGGACTAAGAATGTGTTAGAATAGCCCCCTCCTAGAAGGAGGTGGATTATATGGCCCAAAGATGGTAACGAAGAAGGCCATAATTATGTGACCCAAAAACAATGGATGAAGAAGGGTAGGATAATCACATTATTGGAAGGAGAGGTGATAATTTAAGGACAGTGAGGATGTGAGTTATGATAAATTTTTTTTTGGGGAGGGGGATTATATGAGTCAAATATAGTAAGTGGAGGAGGGTAGGCTAATCCCTTTTTTGGAAGGAGGAGACTAATCACCCTAATACAATGACAACGAAGGAAAGAATAGCCCCTCTCATCGGAGGGAGGACTATATGATTGAGGACGACGGTGTAGACAAGGAGAGAGTGGGTTATGTTACTAGACGATGGAGCACAGAGAGGATGACAGCTCTTCTCTTGGAGATGGGGAACGATGTAACTTAAAAATAATAATGTAAAGTATATCTAATTACATCATAAATTATTGGATATAATTTTAGGTAGCAGTTAGAGCTTTTAAAACTCTTTGATATGGAAGTTGAAGCTGTCTCAAATAAGGAGAATTGTGATTTACTCTTAAATTTTTAATAAGAGAGTTTTATTTTATTTAGAATCATATTATTATATTTCCTATTTTTTATTGACAATGAGTGGTCTCGAGCAAGCCATTTGCCATTCAAATGCGACTAAAGGATCTTGTCCATATGTTGCCCAATTGACTCACCCAGGTTAGGGTCAGTTTGCATTATTAGCCAAGAATGGGGAGTGGTGATTTAGTGGCGGCTTTTATCGATGAAGTCTCAAACATATGAATAAAATATGTCATTCTGTAGATCTTAACACCTAAATTGAATGAAGTTGGCATATTAAAATTCTTAAAATCGAATTAGCAATAACAATTATGAGAGTTTATTGATTAATACATTGTCTGATATAAAAATCCTCTTGGAGAGGCCCCTTTATAAATGCTTAGCCCTAGTAAATTTTAGGCATTCAAATCCAAATTTATCTTAGAAAGTTTGAGTCATAAAATTTCCTTCGGAGAAGTGATTTATAAAAACTTAACCTTAGTAAAATTTGAGCAGCCCAAATCAAATTTTTTCGAGAAGCTTTGAGTTGGAAAACTTTTTCAACGAAGACCGAGTTATAAAATCTTACTCTAATAAAATAAAAAAATTGAATTTAAATGCATTTTGGATTTGTTATGGTCACATACCTTAACCTCGAAAGTAGTCCATGTGAAAGTTGTTAAGTCTTATCAATTTTAGGAATTTAAAGTAAAACTATACCTAAAGAGGCCATGGTTAAAAAAATTTTTGTAAAAAAATCATATTATTTGAGGATTTATAAGTTATAAAATCCCTTTCCAAAAAGGCTAGTTGCACAAAAAATAATACTAGTAGTAATAATCTCAAAGAATTATATTACTAAAATTTACTCAATGGATGCTTGACTAAAAGCACCTTTGAACCACTGAAATTGCATTGGTCCCTTTGAACTGATTTGATGTAGATTTAGAATATTGGATGTCATTAGGAGAGAGTAAGCATCCTTAAGCATATTCATCATGTTGGCTATTATAGCCTATCTATTAGGAAACAATCCACGATCGCTTCTCAACCTTACTAAATAATATTATGTCAAAGTCCTCTGTTGTTAATAGATTGGGCATACCAATTTAACTCTGGATGATACGATCATAGAACATTGATTGCTTTGATTATTCATCTTTTAATCATACCCCAAACTACAAGGACATACTTAACCATGACGTGCAATCATACTGGATATTGATATGATTAGACGTCAAAATTGACAGGCTTTTCCACATAGACTATGGTAAAAACATTTTATTTTCTAAACACCAAATGAAAGTAATACAACACCGATAACTCACATTAATACAAAAGATAAGCACCTAAAATTTGAGAGGTAGGCAATTCCTCATAATTACAATTTGAGAGATAGGAAATCTCTCTCAAACCCTAAACCTAAGATACAAGAGTCATCTCATGCATAAACCTAACACTAAACATAATAAGTCTTGTTATACCTAGAATAACAATAATAAAAGACTAAATTTGTCCTTAGACATATTGAAGACAAAATTACCTTTAGGCTAGACAGCGACATAAAAATACTCTCTCATACTCTCTCCTCCTCCCAATTACACATTGTCCTCAAGGCGGGAAAAAGTGAGTGTTCCTCCTCTACCACCGCAGTGTCTCTATTCTTCATCCTGTGTTTCCTCATCATGCACTATGAGAACTTGTAATTTTCAAGCATTACAACAATATCCTGTGGTAAACTTCTCATCACATAAAAAATGTAGCCCCTTGGCTTGCTTCTGCTAAATCTCTTACTCTATAAGGTGCTCGAGTATCGTTCCCGGTCATGACTCATTATTTTTGTCCCATGCAACCTCCCTCTGGACTTTCACTATTTAAGTTTTTGGGATCGTTGTGGTTGTAGCAGTTCGGTACGTGTCTTAATCTGTGCTTCTCTTATCAGCTATCTTTATCTGATTCTTGTCCTTCACCGTTTGGGCCAACTCTAATTTCTCCCTCAATCCCCACAGTCTCATTAGTCGAAGTGTTGCCCTTATGTCGGGCTTTAGGCTTCATGAAACTCCCCTACAATCCCGCTTCAAAATCCCCCCTCAACCACTTCAACTACAGCTTGAATCTCACTCTATATTCTATGGTAGTCCCCTCATGGTCCAAGGCATAAAATTTCTCGTGTAGTTCTCCTTCCCGAATGACCTAGAAATATTCCAACAAACAATCATTAAATCCCATAAATGGATCAGATACCTAACCTCCTTCCACTGAAATCCTGTTAGGATTTTCCCCTCCAAAAATAACCCTCCCTGTGTTGTGAGCTTCTCCTCTCTAGTTAGCCCATTCGCCATGAAGTATCACTCTCCCGATACACCCACCTTAGTGTGTCTTCCCTCTCGAAAATCGTCAGCTTCAACTTTCAAACCATAGCATTACAAATCCAACTTCTTCTCTCTGACGTTTCCTCCCATGTATCTAGGGTAAAATTCAACCTTCGATCATAGCCATGCCCCATTCTGATTTCTCCTTCCTTCTTTATGCTTTTCTCAGCCCCTTGCATAGCCCCTCCATGTCTTGACCCAATCCCCTATATCAAAAATCTCTAATCTACCTCCCATCGGAGTCACAGGGGGAAGCTCGTGATGTTGGATGTTTTCTTCATGTTCTTCACATTCGATCTCTTTCCCGGTCACGGGTTCTCCACAACCTTTAATTATGTTTTGCACATTGAGTCATCAGTAGGGACTTGTATTGCATCTCAATGCGCCTCTTTATCATCTCCTCAAGGGCCGCGAATCGGTCCTCAATTGAATTCTACATGGAAGAAATCCTCTCAAGACGGCCCTCCATTTGATTTTCCATAGAAGAAAACCTATTCTTTATGGCGGTGAACCTTTTCTCCATCTCATATTTAAGTTGACACAACTCTTCCTCTAATTTCATCTCAAAATCATCTACTTTCTTGTCTGTCATTACTCCCTGTACGGTTTCAGAACTCCTTTACGCTGAAATCGTGAGCTATGAATTTTTTGTACGTGTTTTCGACTTGCGTGGAACTTTGGATGTTGCGATCCCTGAATTCATGTACGCGGTTTGGTACTTTGAAGCCGCGTAGAACTTTAGACACTACTATCCAAATTCCCGTATGCAAGTTTGGCGTGGAACTCCTTTACACTGCGATCCCTATTGTGGTTTTCAATCATTATGGCATGGAACTCTTGTATGCCACCATGTTACCATCTTGGCAAGCTCTAATAATATATGGGTTGTTCGGACGCAACAAAAAGAGGAGAATGTGCGTCTGAACCTTTCGATTCCAAGGATTGAAGGTTACGGTCTCGTTGATGATTCTCGTTTGTTCATTCACACACTGCGATCCCGTCATTCCCTTCCCCACGAGCCCTAAGCGCGACTGTATCCCCTGGTTGGGGAGGAGGAAGATGGAATTTCATGTCTCTATACGCTGCTTCCCAACCGTCAACATTGCTTTCCGGTTGCCGGTTCCATCACTGTATGTTGGAATTGTTGCTCCTGCATTGCGCTTGAATGCCACGATCCCGTCCTTGGCTTCCTGCTCCATGACCGATTCCCAGAACTTGCTCTATACCAATTTAATACCATACGACATCAAAATCAGTACACTTTTCCACAGAAATTAGGGAGAACACAAATTTTATTTTCCTAACACCATATCAAAGCAATACAACACTAAGAACTCACAAATACAAAAGAGAAGCATCTACAATTTGAGAGACAAACGATCTCTCCCAGTTTCTACAATTCAAGAGGTAGAAAATCCCCTCAAACCCAAAACCTAAGATACAAGATTCAATCTTGTGCATAAACCTTACTCTAAACATAACAACTCTATTTATATCCAACAATAGCAATAATAATAATAATAAAAAGCCCCTAGTCTAGACGCCGACATAACAATATATACTTGTTCAAAAGTATTCTTGGGTTTAACACCCTAAATATAATCAACTATAGAGATTTGCCTCTACCAGAAACATCAATTCCTAGATCTATGTATATCCTAGATAGTTTTTCATCTAAGAGAAATCTTTAGGAAAATAAAATATTTTGCGTTTGGAAGCTTATTGTTGCTTAGCATCCTAGTGTTTTGGCTCCAAAAGTGTCTGAAGAAGGAAACAATCTAGAGCTGAGTGCTATCAAAGGCTAGAGATTTTGCACAACTACGTCAAGTGCATTTCTCTCACATCTTCATATCATTGCTGCTCTATCTTATATGTCATACAATTATAGACTTTTAAATTGTCGTCAATCATCACTTTTACATAATGGCTTTTTTTTCACATTCAAAAATTTTTATCAGTTTTTTTTATTCATAAGGTGGTGGTGATGTCAGCTTCCTAACATATTTTACAGAAAGCACTTGCTGGACTAAGAAGGATCAATTTAGAGGGCCTAAGATGGCGGCTTTTCGATGCCAAAGGACAGGTTTCTTACATTCTCTCGATCTCTATAAAAATGTCATCTTTTTGTGTAGATCTTCAAAGCTACCTTGTTACTGATTTGTAGAAAGTAATGGCAGTTTTACTATTTCTAGGTACTTGGTAGATTGGCATCTCAAATAGCAACTGTTATTCAAGGGAAGGATAAACCAACGTATACACCATATCGTGAAGATGGAGACATGTGCATTGTGCTCAATGCAAAAGATATTTGTGTGACTGGAAGAAAAATGACAAATAAATTTTTTCGATGGCATACTGGGTAGTTACCTTTTCTTTTCCCTCCTGCATAATAATGTCAAATGGATTCTTTTCCCTCAAGTTCTTATTGATTTCATCTTCAATTTAAGGTATGTTGGTCACCTCAAGGAAAGAAGCTTGAAAGACCAGATGGCAAAAGACCCAACAGAAGTGATTCGCAAAGCTGTTCTCCGTATGCTTCCTCGAAATAAATTACGTGATGTAAGTGCTTTTCTAAAGCTTCTAATATACCAATTTCTAGGATGAACAATTCATTTGTTAATGTAATTTCAATAAATTATCACGATCATTATCAACTATATTGGATCTCATCTCAGTTAACTGTGGTCAACTATATGAATTCACATTAGATTATTCATTCCATCTTTTCATACTTAACTAAAATTAGGCCATAAACGGAATTATATGTAATATATGATTTGTAAAGTTTAACAATTATGTTTAGTTCTACTTAAGTACGAAATATTATGCATACTTTTAGCTTTAATTGAATTCAAATCAATTAACTGCGCCATATAATTTATCAGTTTTCATTTTTGAATTCAGAATCTTACTCTTTAGTTTTAATACCTGAAGCTGGCTGATTGGATCAGCAAATTGGACTTCCGATGTGGAATTCCTAAATCTAGCAAAATGAGTTGATTTATTGTTTGCCTTGTATTTAGATCAATTTTGTTTTTATATCTTTCATGTTAGTGTCACTTGATGATGAACAGTGTTATAAATTTGTAGCATTCCTTCTACACATTTTAAAATTTAGTTTCTATCATGTCAATCATATAATTTGAATCTCGGTGTGACCACCATATTCCTCGACTTGATAAATTCTTTAGTGAGTCTTTCTTAACCTTTTGAGACTAGTGATAGCTTCTTCCCTATTATGAACAATGGATGAAAACCCACTGTATTTTCTGTAGGACCGAGATCGAAAACTGAGGATTTTTACGGGGAGCGAGCACCCTTTTGGAGACCGTCTTTTAGAGCCGTATGAGATGCCCCCTCGACAAGTTCGGGAGATGCGTCCCCGTGCCAGACGCGCCCTCATCAGGGCTCAAAAGAAGGCAGAGCAGAGCAGTGTGAATGCTAGTGCCATGGCTTCCAACAAGGAAGATAACCGTGTATGAATTGCTCTACTTTCTGCTCTTATATATATATATATATATATATAATTGGCAAGCAGAATGAATTTAGTTGTCATGCCATCGTCAAGATTAGTTTTTTGTTCCCCACTTTTTAGGGCACAATTTATCTGGTTTTCATCATTGGGGACTCTTTTATCATGTTTTGTGTTTTTCATCGCTCTTCTCTGGGAAGTGAAGAAATCATTTTATGTCATGCATTCTAAATTTATAACTCATATTATTCTTGTATGTTAAGTAAAATGTTGAAAGAAATGTTTAGCTTTGCCTTTCACGTTATGTACTTACAACTTGTTTGAAATAAATAAGAGGTAGATTTACATACATACCATTCAGCTCTTATGTATTTACAATCTAACACCTAAACTTTAATTATTACATACATAATATACCTTGTTATGCATGAAAAAGGTATATTTCACTTTTTTTTAAGTTAAGTTGATGGTGTTTTTGATGTAATGTCAAAGATTCAAGGGGGCATATATATATAAAAAGTAGAGTTTGAGTTAGATATGTAAATATATAAGAATTGGGTTGTATTCAGTTTATTTTTTTCTCTTCATCCATGCATGTATCCTGTGGCTCCGTATGTTGATGAGTCTGTTACTCATGTGGGATGTGGAACTGTGAGAAACTCAATCTCCGCCCCGTGACTTAGCAGAAACTTTGAAAGCAATCGAAGTATTCCCATGCGAAATAATCATCCTTTAATAGCTCTGTTCTAGTCGTTACCATTAATGTAAACAAAACTCTTTTGGATCAAGAGTAATTAATCAAGTGGGAAATGTCCCTTTGGGGCACTCTAGACCCCATAACAGGTAAACACACCTGAATCTTTGATTGTTGGTAGTCTACGTAGGTATTCTTTCGCGGATATTGGTCCAATGTGCTTTCGCCTGATCTTGTTTGAGCAAATTACTTGATCTATCATTGCGAGATTTATTGCACGTAGGCTTTCCATGTTTTTTTCACTTGTTTATCTTCTTTGTCGTATGTTTGACTTTTCTGATTCCTCTCTTTTCTTGATCATTCACATGATCCAAAAGAGAGACTTATTTGAAAAAGTGAAGTATACGATGATGGACAATCTATCAACTCTTGCAATAATAAAAAAGGGAAATGAATGAAAACAGTGACTGGAAGTAGGGCCGCAACTTGCGAGATGATACGATTAGAGCAACAATTATTTTTCCATAGTCGGAAACCTGACCTTTGCTCCTCAGAGAACACGACTAGTGTTTGGCTTTCATCCGTCAAATGGAAACTTTTGACCTTTTGGAGAGTTTTGAAGAACGCTGCGCACTTTTTGCATGACCTCGAAATGAACCAAATTAGATCTGCAATTTGACCGGTCAAATTTTTAACTTCTTGAGTATTCCGCTGGGACAACATGTCATTCAATGCCTGAATTTTGTCGAGGTTTACTTTTATGCCTTCGGGAGTTATGAGATAACCTAAGAACTTGTCAGTTGAGGCTTCAGATGTGCATTTTAAGGGGTTCAACCTCATATTATATTTTCTTAGGGTTTGAAAGTTTCTTTTAGGTCTTTTATGTGTTGTTATGTCGTCCGACTTTTTACAAGGACATCATCGACATAGATCGTAATATTCTTTCCTTTCATTTTTTTTTTAAATTACATCCATCAAATGCTGGTACATTTCCCTGGTGTTCTTAAGCCAAAAAGAGCATTACATTATAACAAAACACTCCCTCGATCTTAATGAAAGTGGTATTTTCAGCGTACGTTGGGTGCATCCGGATCTGGTGATAGACGGAGAAAGTGTCCAGGATGCTCGTCACCTACTGCCCTATTTTACGTCCACTAGGGCATCAATCCTTAATAACGAATAGCAATCCTTTGGGCAGGGAACATTTAAGCTGATGAAGTCGACACAAATCTTGCACTTCTTGTTGGCTTTTTGGACCATGACAACGTTTGAGTCATGTGGGGTATTGCACCTCTCGGATGTATCCTGCTTCTTGCAGCTTCAACACCTACTCTCTAATCGGCACAACCAGTCACAAAGTTCCTTATCTTCTGGTTGATTGGCCAAACTGTAGGGTTCCCGTTTAACCTATGATAAGCAACATCAGCTTGTATCCCAGGCATCTCCGCAACGAACAAGACGAAGACATCACGGTGGTCCCAAAGTGTTTGAGTTAACAGCTCCCGGTGTGTTGCATCAAAATTGTCACTTATTTGGAAAGATTTGCCTATTTGTTTTCGCTAGTGAAGATCTCCTGGGTGGCCTCACTGGTCTCGAGGCTGCCTTCCTTTTGGTTATGTAGTCGAGTGGTTCTTGCTCCATGCTCCCAACCGCCTGAAAGCAGCAAACTCTCAACTGCTCCAAATATCCCATGACAGTGATTATTTCTATGTAACCCGGGAACTTTACTGTAACGTGGTAGGTGGACACCACAGATCTTAAGTGGTTTTGCAGTGAGTAGCCAAAAATGTCATTGTAGGTTAATGGCGAATCCACTATCATAAAATCTTGTCCCCGTGAACTGCTTTTCTCCTTCACCCCAAGTGACCACCAACCGCATTATGCCGAACACCTTTTTTCTTTCACTTGATCAAAAACTAAAAAGTGGGTTGACTGGTGCTACCAATCAGTCAGTCTGAAGATTAAGCTTATTGAACAATGACTTTAAACAAAATGTTAACGGAGCTGTCAGTGTCAATGAGAATGCTCCCGGCTTGGAAGTTATTGATTATCCCCATAAAGACTATGGCCTCATTGTAAGAGTTTTCCCGTTGGAGAAGGTTGCCATCTGTGAATGTGATGGGAGGACAACCTCCCTCCTCTGTATGGATGCGAGGTTGCATAACTCATCTATCATTGTCCTCTTTTGGGACTTCCACTCAGGGGCATCCATTCTTCCCAGGATAGTCGGGATCATCCTGACGATATGGGCAACATTCGTCTGTACGGGCCCTCTACTGCTGGAGTTTTCCCATGTCTCTGAATCGAGTGTCTCTGGGCCACGAACTCCTTCAGCTTCCTTGCCTTGATCAAGTCCTCGATGAGACTCTGGAGGTGCCTACATTACTCGGTGTTGTGGTTGTGATCTTGATGACATTTACAATACTTCCTTGATTCTCGAAGAAAACCTTTGGCCCTCATTGACGTGGGTTCCTTAAAATATTATTTGTCTTGGATGACGTCCACGACTTCCGCCATTGACAACCTCAAAGGGGTAGCCCGCAAGCCCTCATAATCTCTGTATGCCTGTTCATAACATTGTGTCAGCCTCTCATAGTACCGGGTTGCAGGTCTCGATTCCTGTTCTGGACACCATGTTGGTTGTGTCGTTTGATCCTTCCATTATTGTGAGAGGACTGATAGTCTTTAAAATAGCACTAGAAGGTGGTCTATGTTCCACCCTAGGCCTTGACCCACCACTGGGGTAGCTTTTTTATGGTCGTGACGCTCA